CAGGTTGCTCCAAGCCCCGTCCAACCTGGCCTTGGACACTTCCAGGGATCCAGGGGCAGCCACAGCTTCTCTGGGCAACTGGTCTGTGCCCAGAAGAAAATATTGTTCTTGTTGTCAAACCATTGCATTTTAAGGTAAAACTGACTGTCTTTAAAACACAATCCTGTATTTTCAGTGATTTTCACTAGTAGGTCTTAATATTAATTTCTTTACATGCATTCAGATGATAATAAAACAACATCCCTGCCAAGTCTCTGGGCACCCTCACAGAGCTTTCTAACAGCAACATGGAAACAGTTGAACACACTTGGTTCACACAGAGCTTTGGATGAGCTTCTGCTCCTGTGGAATGTTGGGAAAACATTCCATAGGAACATAAGGAAGAATTTCCCCTGCTCCTGCAAAGCTCTGTGCAAACTGGAGGGCAATGAGGATGGAGAAGGGCCTTGATTTGAAGCCGGGGGAGGACACTGAGGGCACTTGGGGTGTTCAGCTGGAGCAGAGGAGACTGAGGGGAGAGCTCATGGCAGTTCCAGCTTCCTGGGGAGGGGCAGAGGAGGGGCAGGGACTGAGCTCTGCTCTGAGGGGACCAGGGACAGCACCCAGGGAATGGCTGGAACTGTGTCAGGGCAGGGTCAGGTTGGATCTCAGGAAAAGGTTCTTCCCCCAGAGGCTGGTTGGGCACTGCCCAGGCTCCCCAGGGCAGTGGGCACAGCCCCAAGGCTGCCAGAGCTCCAGGAGAGTTTGGACAACACTCTCAGGGATTGTTGGGTTGCCCTGTAAATTGGACTGGATGATCCCTGTGGGTCCCTTCCATCTCAGCACATTCCATTCCATCCCTGCATCCCATCACCCGGCACCTCGGTGGGAGGACACGGGTCAGCTTCCCTGGACCCCCTCCCCGGGGGTGGGGAAGGTGTCTGTGCACCCCCGTGTCCTGAAGGGCATTGAGCACCTCTGTCCCAAAGTGCTGCTTGATGTCGTTGGGTGAATTACGGGGATCCATCCCAGCTGCTGGGCGGGAAAATGGTGTTTCTGGGAGGGAGATGCGGGGAGGTTTCCTGGCGCTGCCGTCCCTGGAGCGGCAGAGCGGCCACAACCCATCAGCGGAGCCTTTTAAAACCTCATCAGCATCTCCAAAGAGGTGCATTAACGAGCCGCGGGCTCCGAGCGGGCCGGAGAGTGGAAATGGGAAGCTCATTAAAGAGACGTCTCTGCCAGAGGGGAGGAAATGCGAGGAGGAGGAGGAGGAGTCGCTGGTGCTTGTGTCTGTTCCAAATCCCCGAAGTGAGCGAGCTCCCGGGATTTTTCCTGGAATCGGGAGCCGCATGAGAGGTACCAAGTGTCACCTCAGCGCATCAGGAGGGGAACCAAGTGGAGGTGTCAGCAACGAGTGTTGCTCTAACCCTGCTGAGCCCGCAGCCCCGGGCGGGTCAGGAATAAACAGCGGCGAGGAGGGATGGTGGGGACCAAAACGGGGCAATTTGAGCTCTGCGGTGTGGAAATGCAGCTTTATTGGAATGAAAATGGGTGAAAATCAGTGTTAGCTCAGCGGGTCAGAGCACGGTGCTGACAACACCCAGGCTGTGGGTTTGATCCCTGGTTGGGATCCCTTCAGAGCTGGACTCGATGATCCTTGTGAGCCCCTTCCAACTGAAAGATTCTGTGATGGCAGAGCATGTTCCAGTGGATACCTGACTTGTTTCCCTCTCCCTGCATCCTCCATTCTTTCCTGTTTCCCTGACACAGGATCGTTTTTAAGCAGCTGACCCAGCCCAAGTGCCCTGAAGCTGCTCCAAAAGAGAAGGGCATCACGTTTATTTCCCATTTTTCCTTGAGATTCCCCTTTTCTCCGCCTTCTCCAGCCACGGGGCCAGTCCTCTTCCCTTTTTCAAAAAAGAAAAAACCCCACCCAACCCTCTGAGAACTGAATTTTCACAGCATTACCTGGCGGCAAGAAGCCAAACCGAGATGAAACTGGATCCCCTTTTAACGCACCCTCCCAAACGATCTGCACAAGCCAGATTTGGCATTTTCTTTTTGCAGCCTTCTCTCACTAAGCCCTCGTGAAAGCCTGTGGTGACCCATATGGGAGCTGGAGCTTTGCCCTGCATCAAGGTGTTGAGTCAACAGGAAAGTGTGTCACATATAAATATATATATTTATATATATGTATATACACACGCTCTTATCCTGGTCCACAGTGACAGCCTTGTTTTCCTCCTGCAGCCTCTGCTCCGTGGAATGATTATTCCTAATTCTCGTTAGTGCTGCTCTTGTTTCCCCCCTGGTGAATTGGATTTTGTGCAGTTTGCTGCTCCATTACCATAATGTGTCACTTTAAAAACCCTTTAATGCTTCCCCAAATTGCATCTCTGTAAATAGGAATATTACTTAGCATGTTTGGTTACTCTGAAAACTCAGCACTTTAATTTTCCAACCTGCTCTGGAGGGCTGAAACCCTTCAGGCTTCACCCTGGAGGGTGCTGAGCACCCTCCTGGCCATCCCTGGTGGTCCTTCACTGACAGATTCACCCACCTTTGCCTTCTCTGGGTGTGAAATGAAACCCAGCAGAGAAGCACCATCAGCTGGATGCTTTTCCTGCCACATGGAGCAAAAATGGGGAGCTTACAGAGGGGCTGGAGCCCTCAGTCCACCCTTCAGGCTGCTGTGGTGGAACTCCCTTATGAGAAAAAGGGCTCCTCATGCAGCTGTGGTCTAACATCTGTACCTGGACAATTCTGGGGCTGTCCACAACCAGATCTTTCTTGATTCAGAACCTCCCCTTTAGCTTGAATGTTGTGTCAATATTAACCCCTGGCTGTGCTGTAGGACATTTGAATTATGTGCTGTCCCCAAGCCCTTGTTTTTTTACCACACTTTTGGGGGTTTTTGTGGTGTTTGTCACATACAGCTGTTCTTACACTGTTTGCAGGCCTCTTAAATGTGGTCAGCTGTCATAAGCTGGAAATTCTTAGCAGTTTGGGAGTCTTTTCTGCCAGGTGACAAGTGCCAGGATGAGAGGAAACGGCCTCAAGTTGCACCATGTGGAGATTAGGGAAAATTTCTTCACTGGAAGGGTGGTCAGGCATTGGAACAGGGAAGTGGTGGAGTGACCATCCCTGGAAGAGTTCAAATCCTGTGGACGTGGCACCTGGGGACGTGGTTTGTGGTGAACATGGTGCTGGTGCTGTGGTGACAGTTGGACATGAGGATCACAGAGGTCGTTTCCGTGATTCCATGACATGAGGTGGGGCAAACTATAAATTATGGGCACTCTGCTGCACCCTAAACCATCTCTTATACCACAGCAGTAGATAAATGATTACATGGGCATCATGACTTTATAGTGGAAACCCAAGATGTGCCTGATGTCCCTGCAGTGCCGCAGGGAGGGTCCAGCTGCTTCCGTGGCTTCAGGTGGTAACTGTTCTCCCCTCTCTGCAGGTGATGAGGTGGGAGATTTCCCTTGTGGAGAGGAGCCCCCTGCCAGGCAGTGTGAGAGCGGGACCACCTGCAGGGAGTACTGGCAGGGGCCCAACTACGGCATCACCAACTTCGACAACATCCTCTTCGCTGTGCTCACCGTCTTCCAGTGCATCACCATGGAGGGATGGACAGACATCCTCTACAATGTGAGTCTGCTGCGGGGGCTGGAGGGCTCCTGGGATGCTGCTCTGCCTTGGGGCAGTCTGGGAAAGGTTGTTCTGCAAGGAAAAAGGGATTTAATTTGTGTATTTTCTCATAGCACCCTACCCTGCTTTTTAAGAGGATTGTTCCTGTTTTCCTGGGGGTTGTTCTGCAGGTGCTGTGAGAGCCTTTGAACCACCACCACGGCCTGTGGGGGTTTGAGGTCATGTCCAAAGAAGGGCAATGAGGCTGGGGAAGGGTGTGGAGCACAAGTGCTGTGAGGAGAGGCTGAGGGAGCTGGGGGGGCTCAGCCTGGACAGGAGGAGGCTCAGGGGAGACCTTCTCACTCTCTGCAACTCCCTGCCAGGAGGGGGGAGCCGGGGGGGGTCGGGCTCTGCTGTCAGGAACCAGCAGCAGGACAAGAGGGCACAGCCTTGAGCTGCCCCAGGGCAGGTTTAGGTT